ATTATCTCTATGCATGTTCTTGTGGATATCATGAAATTGCTACAACCCAGATGCTCTGTTCTGAGTTTTGGTCTTATTTGAATCATCTAAGAAATCTTGTTGGTTCTGCTAGTTGGATGAACACATATTGGTTGAATATTTTTGTTTTTTTTGTTGGTTCTTCTTTGTTCTTAGTCAGCTGATCGTAGTTTTTTGATTGATTTCTGGCGTCTGGAATGTTTTTTTTGTCGTAGTGTGTAACCGTCCAAGCCCACTAGCTAGCACATATTGTCTACTTTGGCCCGTTAGGTATTGTCGTCAGCCTCACGGCTTTAAAACGCGTCTACTGAGGTTTTCACACCCTTGTAAGGAATGTTTCGTTCCTCTCGGTTGGAGGGATCTCACATAGTGAGAGCTACTGGCTTTGAATCAATTTTGTCGCGGAGTAGATTTAGTTTCAAATCATGATTAGTTTAGAACTTTGGAAAGCCACACATACACACATATAGAGTTCAACCGGTGGGATTCGGACCTCTGATTTGTTGGTCGAGGACATATGCTTCACCTAATTGAGCTGTGTGTGTGTGTGTGTGTGTAGAGAGAGAGTTCAACAAGTCGGGATTCGAACTTCTGAATTGTTGGGAGAGGACATATGCTTCACCTAATTGAGCTATGTGTGTCTGTATATATATAGAGAGAGAGTTCAACAAGTCGAGATTCGAACCTCTGAATTGTTGGTCGAGTACATTGCTTCACCTAATTGAGCTATGTGTGTCTATGTGTGTGTATATATATATATATAGAGAGAGAGAGAGAGAGAGTTCAACAAGTCGGGATTCGAACCTCTGAATTGTTGGTCGAGTACATTGCTTCACCTAATGGAGCTGTGTGTGTGTGTGTATATATAGAGAGAGAGTTCAACAAGTCGGGATTTGAACCTCTGAATTGTTGGGAGAGGACATGCTTCACCTAATTGAGCTATATGTGTGTGTGTGTGTGTGTGTATATAGAGAGAGAGTTCAACAAGTCGGGATTCGAACCTATGAAGGGTTGGTCGTGGTCATAGGCCTCAACTAGTTGGGCTATGCTTCCATTAACACTTAGAGAGCCATATTATTCTTTAAAACGAGTCGATTGTACATGGTGATGTAAGTGCTCATAAGGTTCTCATTGTTAAGGAGTTTGTAGTAGGTTGAAAAGAGGTGTGTGTGGCCAGGCTCGTTATAGTATTGGGTCGGGAATCTTTGCTCTTCTCTTTTGCATTTCTGCTGTCTGCGTTCTTTTTTGTGTCTGTCTGTACCACAAAAATGGTCGACGCCAGCTCTAATGGTTGAAAATAGAGGGCCAACTAAGACCCTGTAATAAAGCTTCGATAAAACAAACGATTCGTTCCCACGACTTCAGACCAGAAAGAAACGAAGTTTTTTGAAACATCGTAATGATACATTTTGTCGTTTATATGAATAAATTATTCTAATTCCATTAACTTCTCATTCCGCTCGATTGATTTTCTTTTCATGCATGGCTGCAGGTGTGGATTTCAAGATCAAGATGGTAACAGTTGGTGGAAAAAGATTGAAGCTAACGATTTGGGACACAGGTAACTGGATGATTTACCTGTTCTTCTGGTCTCGTGTTTACGTTTTTAGCTTGTCCCAGCTGCTCGATACAGAAAGTTTCTTCGTTTTTCTGCTTCGAAGCTATATGCTTACTCTATGAAGTGTTCGTTCACCCATTTAATATACAATTTCTTATCCTTTGTTCTTGTATGCAGCTGGACAGGAGAGGTTTGGAACATTGACAAGCTCTTACTACAGAGGTGCACATGGAATCATCCTAGGTATGACCGAAATTTATCCGTTAAAAAACTCTTTGAAATGATTATTTAAAAAAAAAAAAGCGGGAAAATTCCCCTCGGGAACCTCCTTGCCCCGATTCCCACACAAATAAATAGGGAGTTTCGTGGGGATGGGGTTGAAATAGTAGGTGGCGACGCGTCGGTTTTATACGTTTTATTTTGGAAACATTCCCTCATGGCATGTTCCGTTGTCACGGTTGAATGTATTGAATTCAGTTTGAGCACTTCACGAGGCTGATACTTATCTATGTTTTGCGGATAGTGTACGATGTTACCCGACGGGAGACGTTTACGAACTTGATGGACGTATGGGCGAAGGAAGTAGAGATGTATTTAACCAATCATGAGTGCATAAAAATTCTAGTCGGGAATAAAGTCGATCGAGTAAGTTGTATGATCCTACCGTCGTTCAAATCTCAAACTCTTCATTTTAAGGAATCTTTAATGTTGACAGGGTAGCGAAAGAGCTGTTTCGACAGAAGAAGGTATGGCCGTTGCCAAGGAGCATCAAAGTTTGTTTCTCGAGTGCAGTGCTAGAACTCGAGAAAATGTCGATAGATGCTTTAAAGAACTCTCTTCGAAGGTAACGCTCCGACACTAAGATGCTCATGTTTTACTTGAATCGACTTCCGAACTTAGTTGCTAAGAATGCCACAGCACATAGGACACTTCCATGTACACAAGTATTAGTTTAGGAGCTATAATGCAACGGTTTGCGTACTTACTCGAGCTCGTGATATCTTTTTCATTTCTGTTCTGTGGGGTTGCTATGAAGCTCAAAACCCGATCCCCGATGTCAAATGTATTTCATCTCATGATCTAAATCGGTTTATTACAATCCAGATACTGGAAGTTCCGAGTCTACTAGAAAATGGATCTGTTGTGGTGAAACAGAAAATTTTGGACAAAACCCGAGCACGAAAAGAAGCGAACGATGGGGGTTGTTGCCGCTAACCCGACGCAACGAAACAGATATGGAGGGAAGATCACGAAATTGTTGATAAGAACAGAGGCCAGGAAAGACACAAATGAGGCAACCAAGGTGATTACATTGTTTCTATCAGCTTTTTTCTTTCAAAAGAGAGTAAAAAAAAAAAAAAATGCATTGGAATGGTGTCTTTGAGATCACTGTAAAAGTTTTGGGTGAATTTTGTTGGGATAATAATGACTTTTGAGTAACAAAATTTAATAAAATCCTTGTAGATAATGTGAATCTATTTTTGTCCAAATTGAACAACTTAATGTCATTCACACTTCATCCCCTTCTTTATGGGTCGGGATGTCGATGAATGGCCGATGTTTGAATTCTAGGGGTATTTTTATGACTCGATAACTTAATCTCAGTTCGGTTGATTGGATAAGTATAATTTTTTTTTTTTTTAATTTCAATTCTATTTAAGTTGTTCGAGTCATCGATCTAACTAATTCGAAATTTTTAGTTCTAGTCTAACCCATGTATATCTTGAACATGTTGTTCGAGTCATCGATCCAACTAATTCAAAATTTTTAGTCGATTTGGAAGATTTTTTTAACTAGTCTAATCTGTGTATACCTTGAACATGTATACGGAGTAAATAAATAATTGTAAAACACTAATATCTCAAATTATTTAATTTCTAGAACGTAAACAATTTGGTAAAATTTATTGCCATTTTCGAGCAATATAAAGTGTTGGTAGATAGGGCATCATGATGAGCATGTGGGATTGCATGATAAAGACAAACGCGCTTTCAAGAAAGTCGGGTCCTATTTTTGCATACTTTCAATGACTTTTTTGGCTTTCGTTTGGCGCTATATAATTTATATCCTAAAAAAATATTAAATATTAAAATAAAAATAAAAAACAAAAATAGTCAAATTCAATATAAATGATATTGGTTGTCATCAAATATATGTATGAGTAATTGCTTTCTTAGTCAAGTAATGGTATGAACATAAACGAGCAAATTAACTAAATTAGACCATAATTTCAAATGATTCTATCATATTTGTCAAAGACTTGCCTACTAGCATATTCATACTTGGCGAACAACCTAAACTTATAGAACTAGAGTATGATTTAAATTTTGATCTTTGAATCTTTTAACGAGTAATTTTCACCTGTCTTTTTGAATATTTAAGACAAAACATAATGAAAAATTGACGTGACACTGACATGATCAGCTACTTTTTCTCAACGAGCATTAACAACAGCGAACAACATCGCCAAACAACCGCAATGATAACGGGAATAAAAATCTCTTCGAGTTCCAATCTCAAACCAGGCTTAGAACAGAAACCTAACATGCTTAGAATTAACTTTTAGTGTCTTTAGGTATCCAAATGTTGGGTTAATTGTGTTCCCTTTAGCACAAAGGCCAAGCTTTGAATGCTTTAATAATGAAAGGGAATCTAGAAAGATTGGTGCACTAATTAAAGCCACAACACACCCACTATGAATGGTGGGGATCTCCAAATGCTTCAGACAAAGCAGAATCTTTGTGAAGATTTATCCCTTTCCATGTAATAATCATACTTCATCTCTTAAAACAGAGCAAAAGCAGCAAAAGGGCCCAACATATTGCCCAAAAAGTGCACAAAAATGAAGGTTTAACCTTGGTAGAAGTTATAATATGGTACAGAACTGACTTGAAATGATCCATAAACAAAGCCATTGCTGTTCTTATGTGATTCTTGTTTAGATTGAATGGAAATGAATGGCATTTGCATTCTGCAGAGTCACATGAATTTTGTTCAAGTACTTTGTACTTGGTTGTTTAGAACAGAGGGAAATTGGGATTTGTTCTTGTTTTCCACCCACTTTTTTTTTTTTTTTTTTTTTTTTTTTTTTTTTTTTTTTTTTTTTTTTTTTTTTTTTTTTTT